GGGGAGGCTGGGAAGGGATGTGAAGGGTAAACAAAGGAGGAGGCTGCAATGCTTGGTAAGAAATGTATGCATTATCCTGCCCATGTAATTGTAACCCCTCTGTACAGTATGTTCACAAATAAAATTAAATTTAAAAAAAATTCCAAACTGAGCTAATACCAAGTCTTTCTCTCATTTTGTATAAACTTTTCCTGTGTTTCGCTAAAACATTAATCAATTTTTGCTGGCGTGATCTCCAATCCCTGTTGAAGGTGCAACATATATACAGTATATGCTCTACATTACAGTTCTAAAATCTAAAAATCTCTGCTTTTGAAACAAAACTAGTCCCAAGAGTTTCTGATAAAAAAAACTATTTGCCATTTCTTGGTCTTTTGTACTTAGGGTTTATAAAAAAGATAAAGATAGAATGGATGAAACAGTGTTGTATTTTTTTCCCCCAATTGTTTAGAATCCCAAAACCAAGCTGAAGAAATTTGCCATGTGTACTATATGAGACTGCGCTCTGGCCTTACCATAAAAAAGAAGGCTTGTAACTTTAGGAAAAGAACTACCAAAAGGTGTTCACAAAAAACAGGTATGAGAAAGTATATGGGTTTTTGTTGTTGTTGTTGCTTTGTTGTTTTTTTGTGTTTTTTTTTTTTTGCAATGATTGGCATCTGTTTGCCTTCACATACCACATCTAAAGTATTTTTTCCTTACATTTTCTTTGTGAAAAGTAATAAAGATGATAAATTATTAATTGACCATCTTCAAAAGTGCACATAAAGAGGTTTTATTTGTTTTTTGGGGGGGTCCGGTCGTGGGGCCTGAACTCTGGGCCTGAACGCTGTCCCTCAGCTCTTCAGCTCAAGGCTAGCGCTCTACCACTTGAGCCACAGCGCCACTTCTGGCTTTTTTCTTTTTGCTTATGTGGTGCTAAGGAATTGAACCCAGGGCCTCATGCCTGCAAAGCAAGTGCTCTACCACTGAGCCACCTTCCCAGCCCACATATAAAGAGTTTTTAAGAGCTCAAGAGAGCTACTTGATTGAAAATGGAAGACACAAACTTTCATGTAGGTATGTTTATAATATTTCCAAATGATTTTTTTAACTTAAAGGAAGTGGTTTCTAGTGGTTGATTTTGAGTGTTGACACCCTGGTGAGTAGTTTTCTCCTTCCTTGAGTGCTCTACTCAGGTAAAAATATGCCAGGATGTGTTGATTCCATCAGACCTGGGAAGGTCAAAGCCCTAGAATCTTGTACCACATCAGCATGGAGCCTTGACGGGCTCCAAAAAGTCATTGTATCTTTGAAGAGTGAGGATTATGGTCCACCCTACCTCTATTCTTATCCTACAGGTAGACAGCACAAAGAAACAGCTGCTTATCAACAGCCGGGTGAGCAGTATCCCATCTTTGCAGCACCTAGGAACAAAGGACATAGTTTAATAAGTGCCCGGTGTGCAACTAGTGACAATGTTCATGCGAGAGATGAAGAAGGAGGTAAGACATAGGACTCTAGCAAGTTCTTTTACAAGTAGTAGCTCAAGTCTACGTCTTTATGAGTACATGGAAAGAAACTTCTGTCCATTTGCTGCTTGTGTGCATATTTAGTGGTGTCTAGGTGTGACAGAATTGATCTAACAATACATGTACATCCTACAGTTAGCATTCCATTATTTTGCAATGCTTGCTCATGGGCTGAAATCGCATATACATTATCACTGATTAAAATATTTTACCTTAGCTGGGCACCAGTGGCTCACATCTATAATTCTAGCTACTCAGGAGACTGAGATCTGAGGATCATGTGTTCAAAGCCAGCCTAAACAAAAAGTCCCTGTAAGATGCTGATCTCCAATTAACCACTCAAAAACCAGAAATGGAGCTGTAGCTCAAAGTGGTAGAGCACTAGCCTTGAGCAAAAGAGCTCAGGGACAGTGCCCAGGCCCTGCATTCAACCTCTATGACTGACAGAAAATGTATGTGTGTGTGTGTGTATGTATATATATATATATATTATATATATATATATATATATATATATATATATATTCCTCAAAATGTACAAGGAACTCAAAAAATTACCCCACACAAAACTAACAAACCAATCAACAAATGGGCAATGGACCTAAAGAAGACATCTCAGAAGAAGTAAGAATGGCAAATAAACACATGAGGAAATGCTCAAATTCACTAGCAATAAAGGAAATGCAAATCAAAGCAACTTTGAGATTCCATCTCACCCCAGTTAGATTGGCCACCATCAGTTGCTGGAGAATGTAGAGAAAAAGGAACCCTATTGCACTCTCTAAGGTAGTTTGGAGATTCTTCAAATAACTAAACATAGAACTTCTTTAAGACCATACCACTTTTGGGCATCTATCCAGAATGTTACAAGTTAGGATACTGTAAAGATATTTGCATAGTCAGGTTCATTGCTGTACTATTCACAATAGCAAAGTTATGAAAACAGCCCAGATGCCCTACAATAGATGAGTGGATCCAAAAAATGTTATACTTACACACAATGGAATTTTACATGGCCATTAAAAAAATAGTACATCATTTTCAGGGAAATGGATGGACCTAGAACAAATCATGTTAAGTGAGGTGATCCAAGCTCAGAGAGACAAATGGTGCGTTTCCTCTCATTTGTGAAGCTAGATTTAAAATATGGACATGATACCTTATACAGAACTCTAAACATTCACACATAAACCAAAGGAGGATGGCAGTAGAGGCGGAATTCAAAGGTGTAACTCTCCTGAACACTTAAAATACTGCTTATCTAAACAAATTCTAGGAATTGGAAACATAGGTTATTTATGTTGTTGTTGGTGGTGGTGGTAGTGGTGGTGATAGTGGTGTTTGTACGTACTTTTTTTCTTTGCATACACAATAAATATCTGTTTTTAACCTGAATACACTAATAATGTGCCAAGCCCTGAGTTTAAGCCCCAGGACCAGAAAAAAATAATTATAATAAAATATATAATATGCATATATTATTTTTCTTGCATAATTCTATACTATTTGAAAATATAGTAAACTTTTTCTTTCAGTCCCCATATTAGTAACTCCTAAATCTGCTCTATTTTACCATGGCAGGCTTTAAAAAATATTAGCATTTTGTATATGTACTCTGACATGAAAACATTTAAGAACACTATTCTAAGTGTCTCTGTTATTTAGTCAGAGGGCGATTGGGTTTACAACTGCATTCTCCTGGACTGTTAGAAATCCAGGTGAACATAGCGTATAGTAGGACATTCATTTGTCATGTCTATCAAAATATAGTACTTTCTTTCCTACAGTTCCCTAGACCATAGAAAGCCAATAAATGGAAATATAATCAGGCAATCCCTGTCATTCAACTACCTCCTTCTCCCCATCAAACCCTCCCACAAGCACACTGACATAGCCTGCTAGGACAGTCATTCATTCCGAAGACCTTTATTCAGTTCAGGTGTCACATCGCAGGCTGGGAGCTATGTAAAGCTGTGTCAAAGGTCTATCCCACAGTGACAAAGTATAGCTCAAACTGGAAAGGGAAAATCCTTCAATGAAACACTTCAAAAAACAGTTCACCAAAGAATTGTCCATGGAAGCAAGTTTTTGGTGACAGTTTTTTGTTTTTTCTTAACAACAGGAACTTCACCTATTGTAGAATCCTGTGCTTCACTGAGCACATACTATGATAAATGTGTTAGGTTTGTTTTGGAGGATGGAAGTTATGTGATCAATGTTGAAGACTTGGGAAAAGATGAAGAGAAAGGTAGAGTATTTCCTTGTGCCTATTATTATGTAATAATGTTCAGTAAGATTTTTTAAAAATATAAATCTACCAAGCCATCAATAATGGGTTAACTCAAACATAGTAAGTAGATTTCATGCTCTATAGTAATTCCAGTGCATCTGCAGTGGAAGCCTGAACATCTTTTATGTTGAGAAGCCTCAGAAGTTTGGAAAGGTTCGTCTATTGTGAAATAAAGAAAGAGAAATCACATTTTTCACTTGCTAAAATTGTGTTATGAGAGTACCAAACTGTAATCTTTTTAAAAAGGAATATCCCATTGTAATAAATATTTTAAATATTTAATAACTATGTTAGAGATTTCATCAGCCCATATTCATACTTTGAGATCTTTCTTAGGGGCATAAGTTTTACTTTATTACTATATAATAAAAGGGAAGGATCTTCTCTAATATCACTTATATATAGAACATAAATTCTTTGATAAAATTGTATCTCATCAAAGTGCTTTTATGCATTCTCTTTCAGACAAGGTGTTATTGCGTTTCTATGAGTCTTCATACTCTTCAGGTGAATCAGGTAATTTGGAGGTCTGGTTAGCTTTTGAGCTTCAATTCTTAATTTGGGGGTAAGGATAAATCTAGAGCATTCTATGGAAAAGATAAGGCAGTTTCAAAAGGTTCTTTCCAATCTAAGCTCGTGGCAAAAATCTTTGCTGTCTGTTGAGGATTTATTCTATCTCATCTACTTCTTTTTATAGATCAATAGTTCGGATGAAAATTAGGCTACATTTAATAAAGAGCTGTCCTAACCATATAATTGTAATTCTGCTCAAAGTTTGTCCATAGTCACAGCTATGGATATTAGGAGAAACTTATGACCTGAGAAGTACCCATTAAAATCAAAATTCCTATTAGAAAACATTTTTTAAACCTAACATCCCCCTTCAAGGTATTTTTTTTAGGAGAGGACAAGCAAAATGAGCTTGGAATCCAAAGCCTTACCTGAGGCAAATCCTCTAATCTTCCTTCAAGGGATTTTAGAAGTTCCATTTACTTATTTAATACATATATACTTATTTATAATGGCTCTTTAGTTTCATTTGGGCACAAATATTTCTAAGTAAATAAAGTTATTTTTCTTATTACCTTAAGATTGTTTTGCGAGGTGTTAAATTTATTTAAACTAAGATAGTTTATGCCTTTATAATTGTTATTACTTTTAATTGATAGATAAAATCGCATGTATTACTCATGTGCAATGTGAATTCATCTGCATTACCTCACATAATTATCATTTTAATGTAAGGTGATGGTGTTGATGGAAAGATGTCAATGGTAAACCTGAGTCCTACAAAAGACACAGATTTCTGGCTGCATGCCAACACCAAGAAACGCTCTGTGGAGGTAATAGAAATATGATTATATAACTGTCATGATTGACTCTATCTATATATATTTGTGTGTTTGGAGTATTTTGAAGGAAGAGTTTTGTTTGTGCTATTGTAAATAAAACCCAGTTAGCTCTTAGAGTAGAGAAGAGAGAGAAGTATAATGTATGGCTTTTCTACTAAAAGTGTGGTCTCCACCTGCTGCATGGCATCACCTGGGAGCTTGTTAGAAATGTAGGATTTCAAGCTTCTCCTTCCACTCAACTGAATTAGACTGAATAAGAATTAGCATTTAGGGGCTGAGAAGGTAGCTCAGTGGTAGAGTTCTTGCCTTGCATGCATGTGGCCCTGGGTTCAATTCCTCAGCACCACATAAGCAGAAAAAACCAGAAGTGGTGCTACGGCTCAAGTGGTAGAGTGCTAGCCTTGAGCTGAAGAGCTGAGGGACAGCGCCCAGGCCCAGAGTTCAGTCCCCACAACAGACAAAAAAAAAAAAATAGCATTTAAACACTCTTCCAGGAGATTTATGACTTCATTAAAGTTTGAGAAGCCCTGCAAAACATAATGGTCTCTCAAGTTAGTTCTATTTGGCTTTAGAAACTATGTTCTTCCAGTAAGTAATTCTTTGTAAAACAATTTTATGGCCTGTCTCCTAAAGGAAGAGCAGTAGTAAACATGTCCATGTATCAATATTTATGGATAGCACACAAATCTACATATAATCATAGGATTCAATGCATATTTTTATTTAGTCAATGGCACCATTATATTAGTCTGTAAATATCTTGACCAACAAACAACTCAGAACTAGAAGCAAGGAAGAAAACACGAGAGCCTAATGTAAAAGATAAATTATATAAAAACACAAATTTATGAAGTAGTATAGCCATTGAGACACTAGCAGTGCATGGTTGCCAGCATTTTCCTTAACAAAATATTTCTAGGTTTATATACCATAATATCTAGTATACATAACTACTCCAAAGTAAGAGTAACTGCCAGGTGCCAGTGTCTCACACCTGTAATCCTAGCTACCCAGGAGGCTGAGATCTGAGGATCAAGGTTCAAAGCCAGCCCAGGCAACAAAAGTCCGTGAGACTCTTATCACCAATTAACCATCAGAAAACCAAAAGTGGTGCTGTGGCTCAAGTGGTAGAGTGTTCTCCTTGAACTGAAGAGCTCAGGGTCAGTGCCCAGTCCCAGAGTTCAAGCCCCACAACTGACAAAAAAACAAAAAAAGTAAGAGTAACTCATACTGAGTTCTACTATATACTAAGTGCTTGCTAAATAATTTACAAGTATTATCTCATTTAATTCCCATTGTAAGTCTATGGTGGAGTTTTATATTGGTCAACTATTGCTGTGTAATAAGCCATCCCAAAACATAATGACTTAAATTAGTAATCATTTATATTACTCATTTTTCAGTATGTAAGTTGGGAATCAACTAATCAGATAGAACACTGGCTAATTACTCAAAACTGAGACCTGGGGGATAAAGCCACATGGCCAAGGACAGTACACAGCAAAAGAAGGGATATAATCCAGAACTGCTGCATCCAGGCATTCTGGACATACTGCCTAAGTATACTATCAGTGAATCACATTAACTGTTGCTGCCAACCTTTGACCTTCCCTTGGCCCTCTACTCACTTCTTCCTCCCTCTGCTCCCTTACCCAGCAGACTTGCTTGCTGGCTTTCTCTCTCTCTCTCTCTCTCCCTCTCTCTCTTTCTTTCTTTCTTTCTTTCTTTCTTTCTTTGCTAGCCCCCGGGCTTGAACTCAGGGCTTGGGCATTGTCTCTGAGCTTCTTTTGATCAAGGCTAGCACCCTACTACTGGAGCCAAGGTGCCACTTCCAGCTTTTTCTGTTTATGTGATACTGAGGAATCGAACACAGGGCTTCATGCATGATAGGCAAGCACTTTACCACTAAGCCACATTCCCAGCCCCCTAGCAGGCTTTGTAGAAATACAAAGTTATAAATAATGATTCCTGTTTAGGTTCTAACATAGGAAGAAAACATTGACTCTGGATTTCCCACTCATTACTTTTTCTTTTGTTTCCTCAGCTTCAAAAAGGTAAAAGTCCATTGCCAGACCAGGCCTTCTTTGTTCTTCATAAGGACTCCTCTGAATTTGTTTCATTTGAATGTAAGAGTAATCGTGGGACATATATAGGAGTAAAAAATAATCGTCTTGCTCTGATAGAAGAAGAGAGTATGACTAGTGAGAATATCAGGTTTAGGCTGTCTCCTCTAACCCTAATGTGATAGAAAGCTGTGAATTCTGGGTTGTGAAATCCCAAATGCTATAACTGATAAAGGGATAAAAGATAAAGAGATAAGCACTGTCTAAGGGGAAATATTTAGAATGCTGTGCAACATTTTCCATTTCATGTGTAAGAATTGTGAGCATTTTTTCTGATACTTTTTAAAATTTCCCTCTGTATCACTACATATCCAGTAAAAATGTAGGTCTATTAGGTAGTTATTAGTAAATAAAATTTTTAAACAGATATATCCTTTACTATACTTGCTCTATTTTTCATCCAGAAGGAACTTCTCTTTTAGAGTGGAGATCTCTGTAGGGAAGTGAGTGCCACAGTTCAAGTTGTTCTGTGGACAGAGATCCATTTTTAGAAAACTATATAATTTTCATTGCTTTAGCAACTAGTAAAAATACCAAATGCTGTTGTACAGATTATTTCTTGCCTAATACAAAATACCAAGTGTGTTACAGTAGATTCCCTAGAAACACTGAGATAAACCTTGTTTCTGTCAAGAGTTATGACAGAATAAATGCCTACATACCTATGTAGAAAATAGCAATGTGTGAAGAGCCAAGGATAACAGAAAAAAAATTTTAAATCCAATGTTTGCAAAGTGAATCATTTTACTTCTAATGGTTTCATTTTTAAAGTTCTGATTTTTACATAGTGAGTTCACTTTTAGCAACTCATTCTTACATTAGAAAATGAAAAAAAATAGTTTGTTTCCATATAATTGAAATTATTAGAAATAGTTAATGTGATAATATTTTTCTTTTTTAAAGTACTGGGCTATAAGAACATGTTAGGGCAGTTGAATAGTATCAGACCCAAATACTGAGGTGGAGTGAGAAGTCCCTTAGTCTATTAGTTGCCAAAAGGGATATAATTAACATAAAATTTTCACTGTTGGTGCTCCCTTATGCTTATGGCACACCATGTCCTTGTTATCTAGGCTTCCAAAGAAGCCTTTTATAAAATTAAATTTTTATTACCTGTAAGTAGTTGGATCTATGACTTTTTGATACATGGATCTCCTCAGCAAAATTTCTTCTCACCCTTGCTTATCATGTGTGTATAAATCCTTTTGTGTATTACTCAATGACCTGCTTACTCTGGAATCTTCATTTTACTTCTGTCCCTTCCTCAATAGTTTTGTCTTGTTTTGTTTTATTTTTAACCCACTATGTGGCTCAGGCTAACCTCAAACCCACGATCTCTTATCTGAACCTCCCCTATTGGCGTTCAGGGTGCATGGTGACAAACACCCGCATGGTCTTCTTCAGTTCTTTTGATTAACATATCCTTACTACTACACCCCTGGGCTTTATTTATATTTTGTCTGACTTCTGTATTCCAACACCTTTATTCTGGTTTGTTTACCTTATACTGTAATACTTATATACTTCTCCTGATTTCAAAAATTTTCATTGAACATCTTCACATTTCACTGTTACCAAGGCAGCCAGAGTCACACTCAACCATAGAGTAATATTTTTAACTACTAGGGGAATGGCTTTTGTTTATTTAGAAGTCATAGTAAGTTCTACTAAAAATTTTCATAGTTTTAACACAATATATGACAAAACACGGTAATAGAAAACTGATCAAATCTGTCTTTCAAACTCTGGGCTTTTTAATTCCTAATTTGTTGAGACTTACTGGATATAATTGCTAGTGGAATGTAAAAAGAAAGAGGCTGAGAAGTACTGTGCAAGATTACATAATTAAATTCAAATATAGCATTATTTTGTGAATGTACTGGTAAACTATTCTGGAGGCAAAAAATAAAAGCAGTATCTGTTATCGTTCCCTCTGAAAAAAACACTCCATGTTAACTATGTATATCTATAGATTAAAGTAATTATTAGGTAACCACATATTACATTGTGTGTGATCTTGAATAAACTTTTTTAAAAGCATGTATGGCCATCACTTTATGATGAAAGGATTCAATATTCTAAAACAATTAAATAAAAGTAAACATACCCCAATCCACCCATGTTAGTGTGTGCAGTAGGTCATTTGTCTGATAACTTAGAGGATTTAAAACTCAGATTTTCCAGGGAAGAATTTGTCTCTTTTCCTTTTAACCATTGTATTTCTAGTACAAAGAAAGTATTGGGTGACTTTTACTCATGTTCAAACATCCAACATGTTCTTGCACTAGAAATTAGCCTGCTTTCAGAACTCCATATTTACTTTGGAACCTTTTTTTTTAAGGTTTTTTTTAATGGGTAGGGGTGTGGGTATCTGTCCTGGGGCTTGAACTCAGAGCCTGAGCATTATCCCTGAGATTTATTTTCTCAAGGTTAGAGCACTACCACTTGAGTCGCAGCTGCACTTCCAGCTTTCTGTTTGCTACTTGGAGATAAGTCTCTCAGACTTTCTTGCCTAGGCTTTGAACTATGACTCTCAGATCTCAGTCTCCTGAATAGCTAGGGTTAAATGTGTGAGCCTTAGCACCTGGCTTTAGAAACCTATAACTCAGATATCTTATTTTCTTATTTTCCTACTTTAAAAAATACTTTCCCCATTATTATAATCAGTCCTTTTTGATTAAAATATTCAAATAGTGAAATTTTGTCACATACTTGCAAGTCTTCTGATAGCTTATAATATACATTACTAGAAAGAATTTTGTCCATTTACTTATTTTAAAGGGGATTATTATGTCAAAACTTAAATTTGCCTCACCTTTTAAAAATAATTTTATCATTGTCAAGATGATATACAGAGGAGTTACAGTTACATAAGTAAGGTAATAAATACATTTCTTGTCAAAATTGTTCCTCATCTTTTTAGATTCTTTAGGTTGCTACGTATTTTTAAATACCTTGAAATAATGCCAAGAAATTTTATTTGAATGAGTAAAGTAACTTAGAACTAGTGAGGAAATACTAAGTAAGATTTGAAATTCAAGGGAGATTTGGAGAGAATTGCTAATCTAATTGTAATGTAGCACCTTGACTTTAAATCTAAAAAGCCTAATTCATAGCCTTCACTCATTTTGAATAAGCTAAAAAGTAAAAAAAAAATCCACCTTTGTAAATATAGTTATAGAACATTATAGCTGATATATTACAGTGAGGGGATTAGGCTAATCCCAACACTCTTTTTCCCCTCATATTATCATCTATTTCATCTTCTAGCAGCTTTTAATTAAATACATGGCATTGCATCAAATTCTGTGGGGTACCCTGAAAGTATAAAAGATCAGGGTGTTGTTGGCTCACACTTGGAATCTTAGCTACCAAACATGCTGAGATCTGAAGATCATGGTTTAAAGATAGGCAAGCATGGCCGGGCGCTGGTGGCTCACGCTTGTAATCCTAGCTACTCAGGAGGCTGAGATCTGAGGATCACGGTTCAAAGCCAGCCCGGGCAGGAAAGACTGTGAAACTCCTATCTCCAATAAACCACCAGAAAACCGGAAGTGGCGCTGTAGCTCAAGTGGTAGAACGCTCGCCTTGAGCTGAAGAGCTGATGGACAGCGCCCAGGCCCAGAGTTCAAGCCCCACGACCGACAAAAAAAAAAAAGATAGGCCAGCATGAAAAGTTTGTGAAATTCTTATCTCCAGTTAACCAGCAAAATAACAAAAGTAGAACTGTGGTAGCCTGGCACAAAAAGGCCAAGTAAGAGCACAAGGCCTTGAGTTCAAGTCTCAGTACTGGTGCACGCATGCACGCACACACACACACACACACACACACACACACACATACACACACACATGAAAAAAGGGAAAAGAAAGAAAAAGAAAGTATGAAAGAAACTTAAAATATATTTCTTGTCCACATGAACTTAAAACATGTACAATAATCCTTAAAACAGCAACTCTTCAGTATATTCAGTATACAGATGTATATGTGAAAGAGATTGCTATATGGGTTTGTCACTATGAAAAGAAAAAGGATTATATTCACTATCTTTATCTTAGTACTCACCACAGTGTATGTATGTGTGTGTGTGTGTATTTGTGTGTGTGTGTGTGTTAAAATCATATGAAGCAGGTTCTTTTTGCAAGTCTCAGCTAAAAAATAAACTCATTTGTAAAAAAAACTGAGGTCAAGTGCTGTTGGTTCATGCCAGAAATCCTAGCTACTCAGAAGCATGAGCTCTGAGGGACATGGTTTAAAAACAGACCTGGCAGGAAAGTCCATGAGACTCATTAGCTACCCAGAAAAAGTCAGAATGGAGGTATGGCACTAGCCACAATGGTATAGCACAGCCTTCAGCAAAAAAGCTTCCGGAAAGTGCTGTGATCCTGAGTTCAAGCCCTTAACAAAAGCTGAGATAAACTCAGAATTGTATTAACAATTTAATAGGGTTGGGATTCAATGAAAATGACATAAAAATGGGCAAAAGTTCATTGGCAGAGATAGAACCAATGAGCTATTTCCTTTTGAGGTGCCAACAGAAGAAACACATTTATTTATAAATCAAACTATAATCCTTACCCCAGAAGATACAACCATAAAGAGAATTCATGTGTCACTGCCCACTATATTAAGAACAAAGGTTTGGTTTCCTACTTGTTCATCTTCAACAAGGTATATAATGTCTCTCAATCTCTTTTTCTCTATAACACAAGGTATCAAATACTGTGGTTGTTTACCTGATTTTTATCACTAACACTCCTACTTCCTTCTCAGTGGAACCTCTTTTTGTTTTTGTTGTTTTTTTTTCTGTTTAATCTTTTATTCTATGCTAGAGTTAAGTTACATTCCTGGAGAAGCCATTTTGTCTTATGAATTATTATATATTTATAGAGACAAATAAATAAAAATCTAAAAACATAGGAGGACAGAACAAGTACATGGCCAGACATATATCCAACATCATCTTAAATGCTGGGTAGAGTTTTGTTTTGTTTTTTTAATCCATCTTCCAGCTGTGCTCTGAGGGCTATAGTTTGATTCCCTGTATCCAGAGGCTAAAGACCTTGTTTCCATTCTGAATAGGGTCTACTTGGGCTCGGAGGGGGATTCTGCTCTTCTTCCTGCACGGAAGTGTTTTCAGTCTCCAACCCTGCTCCACTCACAGCGTAGAGATGACTTTATCAGCGGTATAGGTCCATTTATGGCTGGGGTTTCCCCAGGCTTCCATTGTCTTGCTCGAGCTTTCGCAAAGGAATTAACAAGCTCTTAACATGATAGTCTAGGGCTGGGAAGGTGGCTCAGTGGTAGAGTGCTTGCCTTGCATGAAGGAGGCCCTGGGTTCGATTCTTCAGCACCACATAAGCAGAAAAAAAAAGCCGGAAGTGGTGCTGTGGCTCAAGTGGTAGAGCGCTAGCCTTGAGCTGAAGAGCTGAGGGACAGCGCCCAGGCCCAGAGTTCAGGCCCCACGACAGGACCGCCCCCCCCCCACCGCCACCCAAAAAAAAGACTTAAAGAGAAACTTCTCTGAAGAGGAAAGAAGGATGGCCAATAGACACATGAAGAAATGCTCAACATCCCTAGCCATAAAAGAAATGCAAATCAAAACAACATTGAGATACCACCTCACCCAGTTAGAATGGCTATAATCAAGAAGTCTAATAACAACAGATGCTGGAGGGGATGTGGACAGAAGGGAACCCTACTGCATTGTTGGTGGGAGTGTAAACTTGTTCAACCACTTTGGAAAGCAGTACGGAGGGTCCTCAAAGGACTCCACATAGAGCTCCCCTATGAGCCAGCAATCCCACTTTTGGGCATTTACCCAAATGATCACAAACAAGACCATACTAAAGCTACCAGCACAACTATGTTTGTTGCAGCATTATTTACCATAGCTAAGATATGGAACCAACCCAGATGCCCCTCAGTAGATGAATGGATCAAGAAAATGTGGTATAAATAAACAATGGAATTCTATGCCTCCATCAGAAAGAATGACATTGCCCCATTTGTTAGGGACTTTCTGGAAAGACTTGGAAAAAATTATACTAACTGAAGTAAGCCAGGCCCAAAGAAACATAGGTCCCATGGTTTCCCTTAATTGTAATAACTAGTATATGTCTGAGACAAGCAGAAAAGGCCAGATATGTTGATGTTAGGTGAAATAAACCCCAAGATAAGTATTCAAATGTTTTTTACTTTCATGTGATTGTTTCTAACATATTTATAAGATGATTTCTTTGTTGCTTTGTATGTCCCTCCCCCACGATATAGCCGCTGCTTTCACTGTATTTGATGTTGGTATAATTTGTGGTGGGGAAGGGCAAAAACAACTTGTTTAAATAGGGATACAGGTGGACCCATTGCAACAATGAGATGTACAAGTCCTTATGTCGAAAAAAGAAATTTACAACTTTGGGGGGGGGGATATGGGAAAGGATAGGAAGGGGAAACAAAGGAGGAAGCAACAATGCTTGGTAAGAAATGTACTCATTATCTTGTCCATGTAATTGTAACTCCTCTGTACGGTATTTTTATAATAAAAAATGTAAAAAAATTCACTTTTATCAAAAATCAAAGGATTAAAAATGAATACATGATTAGCAAAATTCTCAGACATCTGGATTAGATTGAAGACTATTTAACTCTGTAATATTTTATCTATGGGAAAATATTTATTATATCTGTAATATTTATTTCTATGGGAAAACATTAAATGCCAGAGAATTTAAAAAAATATGTTAGAAACAATTACAAGAAAGAAAAAATATTTGGATCCTTATCTTGGGGTCATTTCGCCTAATATCAACTTACTGACCGTTTCCGCTTGTCTCAGACATATACTACTTATTGCAAATAAGGGAAAGCATGGGACCTATGTTTCTGTGGGCCTGGCTTACTTCACTTAATATAATTTTTTCCAAGTCTTTCCATTTGGAACTTCTTTTTGTACCAGGCAGTGGTGTGCTCAAATAAAAGCACATTCTTTCCAGACTTCCATAATAACCATATGACACAGTTCTGGACAATACCATATAAAC